CCAGCACCTTAACCTCCACACCACCTGCTGGTCCCCACTGTCTGTCTTTTTGGTGCTAGCTGCCTATAGAGTGGCTGGCATGTCATAAGTACATAACAAGTCATTTTTGTGGGTGTGCAGTGTGTATAAGGCTGGTGATTAGTAAGTATAGTCTTTTGTTGCTCAATCTAAGAATCCCTGGAGTAGGTGACATTTCTTTAGACTTAGAAGAATACAAGAAATAAGGGGCCAGCCTGGGGTGTAGTGGTTAAGGGAGCTGGGTCCAACATGGCCGACTACATGGTTCGAATATAAGGAATACGGTTTAATAGCAGGGCATGGGGGCCAGCAGATGCTATAGTGGTTAAGGCACTGGGCTTCCATATGGCTGACCACAGTTTGAGTCCTGGACCTACCAGTTTGTTTTCTCACTTTCTCTCTCTCATCTCTCTGATGAGCATATGTGCTCTTTAACAAATTTTTTAAAAATAATAATACAAGGACCGGCAGGTGCCATGGTGGTTAAGGGAGCTGGACTTCCACATAGCCGACCACAGTTCGAGTCCCAGACCTGGGGGCTCACTTTCTCATTTTTGTTTGTGCTCTCTCTCTCTCTCTCTCTCACGCCCTGTCCCTCTCTGATCAAATTAAGATAAAGTTGAATAAAATAATTATGTAATAGTAATAATAATATATGAAATTAAATAAATTAATTTTAAAAGAAAGATAGAGAAGGGACCAGCAGTTGGTATAATGGCTATGTCGCTGGACTCCCACGTAGTCGACCTCAGTTCAAGTCCCGGACCCGGTGGCTTAAACTCACGCCAGGCACGTGTGCGTGTGTGCCCAAGATCCCGGGAGGAGAATGGAGGAGAAGGGATTATGGCGTGGCCGTCCCCGTTGGGGGGTGATTTCTCGCTTTCTGTCTCTCTGTTTCTCTCTCTGTGTCTGGCGAGCGCACGTGCCCTATAGCAAAAACCTCTCCAAAAAAAGAAAAAAAAAAAAGAAAGATAGTGAAACTGCCCAAGGGAAGAAAAAATAGTTTTTAAAAAAGGGGAGTCCAGGAGATGTCATAGTGGTTATATCACTGGACTCCCACAGGGCCACCCACAATTCATGTCCCAGAGCTGGTGGCTTGAAAATCATGCTGGGCTCGTGTGTGTGTGTGTGTGTGTGTGTGTGTGTGCCCAAGATCCAGAGAGGAAAACAGAGGAGAAGGGATTAGAGGAGAGAAGAGGAGAGGAGCTGGGGGGGATCTCACTTTCCCTCTCAGTCTTTACATCTCTCTCTTGCACAAGCCCTAAGGCAAAACCTCGTAGAAAGAAAACAGTAGGGCATGATTTTGTCCCAATTTAACTTACGACCTAATGCTTCACCTTTTGTTTCCTTTTTCACCCTTGCCCTGACTTTCTAAGCAAAAAAAACAAGAAATAGTCTTCTCTTACTTCCCTACCCCCGACTCGGCCCCCCATGCCTAGAAAATTCTGACTGTTCTTCCTGAGACATAGCTTACCCCATGTCCATCTTCTCTGCCATAGCCCTACTCAGCCCTGCCATTTCTTCTTTTCTTTTCTTTCCTTTTTTTTTTTGATAGGTTTTTGCTATAGGGCGCGTGTGCTCCTCAGAGAGACAGAGAGAGACAGAGAGACAGAAAGCGAGAAATCACCCGCTGGGGGGATGGCCACGCCGCAATCCCGTCTCCATTCTCCTCTCGGGATCTTGGCGCACGCACCTGGCGTGAATTTAAGCCTCCAGATCCAGGACTCAAACCATAGTTGGCTACATGGGTGTCCAGCGCCTTAGCCATTCCACCAACTACTGGTCCCATTTTTTTAAAATAGTTTTTTAAAATAAAGTGTTTTGTTTTGTTTTGGAGGGATTTTTGCTATAGGGCACGTGCACTCGCCAGAAAGAGAGAGAGACAGAGAGACAGAAAGTAAGAAATCACCCCCCAGGAGGATGACTGCACCACAATCCCTTCTCCATTCTCCTCTTGGGATCTTTAAGCCACCAGGTCGGGAACTCGAACCATGGTCGACTACATGGGAGTCCAGTGACATAGCCATTACGCCAACTGCCGGTCCCCAAAAATAAAATATTCTTGAAGAGTTTTATCAAGCTTATACTAGAGCCTAGAGTATAATTTTTGTTCTTTTGCTCACTCTATGGTGCATGCATTTGCCAGAGACAGACAGAGATAGAGGGATAGAGAAAGGAAAGGTGAGAAATCACCCCACAGGAGGGATGACCATGCCACGATCCTTGCTCCTCTCAGGACTTTGGGCACATGTGCACATGTACCCAGTGTGTTTTTCTTTCTTTTTAAAAAACTATTTTATCTTTTTATTTTATTGAAGCTGACCAGAGAGAGACAGAGAGAGAAGGAAAGTGAGAAAGCAAGCTACTAGATCCGGGACTCGAACGACAGTCAGCCATGTGGGAGTCCAGCACCTTAACCACCATGTCACCTGCCGGCCCCCAACCCAGTGTGTTTTCGAGCTGCCAGGTCTGGGAATTTAACTGCCCAGTTGGCTGTGTGGGCTTCAGTTGCCATCTCCTCTGCACCACCTGCTGGCCCAAGCCTACGGTGTAATTTAAAGGTAAGGAAACATGGGGCCAACAGATGGCATAATGGTTATGTCACTGGACTCCCACTCTCAAACTGTGGTTTGAGTCCTGAACCGGGTAGCTTAAAACTCATGCTGGGGGACCAGCAGTTGGCGTAATGGCTATGTCACTGGACTCCCATATAGTTGGCCGCGGTTCAAGTCCCAGAGCTGGTGGCTTAAACGCTTTCTCAATTGCCCTCTTCCTCTCTCTGTGTGTGTGTCTTTCTCTGTGAAATTAAAAATAAATGAATGAATAAATAAAATTTAATAAAAAAAAAAGATCCCGAGAGGAGAATGGAGGAGAAGGGATTGCAGCGTGGCCATCCCCCCGAGGGGTGATTTCTCGCTTTCTGTCTCTGTCTCTGTCTCTCTGGCAAGTGCACGTGCCCTACAGCAAAAACCTCTTAAAGAAAAAAGGAAACAAAGCTGAGATCATTGCGGAGGAGGCCAGCGTGCCAGAGAAGGCATGGTGATGCGCGTGCTCGGAGACAGGCGATGCAGGAGAGCCCGTCTGCATGTTCTCCTTTGAGATGGAGGAAGTGGCTCCAGAGAGTTCACGGACTTGCCCAGGGCCGTGGGGTAAAGCACGAAGTCAAGAGTCAAACCCAAGTGTCACTGTACGGTCTGCAAAACTTTTGTCACAAGAACCAAATGAGAGAATGCACTTTTTTAAAAAAAAATAATTATTTATTTGGGGCCGGCAGGTGGCATGGCAGTTAGGGACCCTGGACTCCCACATGTCCAACCATGGTTCAAGTCTCAGGTCTGGCAGCTTTTTTCCCTTACATTCTCTCTCTCTCTCGCTTTTGTCCCTGACATTCTCTCTCTCTCTCTCTCTCTCACTCTGTCCCTCTCTGGTTAAATTACAAACAAATAAATAAAGTTAAATAAAGTAGTTCTTCAAAAAAATAGAAAAAAAAATTAAATTATTTAATTTTTAAATTTACCATTATTTTTAAATTTGCTAGAGGGCACATGCGCTCATGAGAGAGTGGAAAGAGAGTGGAAAAGTGAGAAAAAAACCAGCAGGTTCAGAAACTGCACCACAGCCAGCCGTATGGGAGGCCAACACCTTACACCTCATGCCACCTGCTGGTCCTGGGAATGTTCTTCTATAGGACACACTATGTGCTCGGCACCGTTGTGGTCTATTTTAATTTATTTAACCCTCATAATAATCCTATGAGGTAGGTACTATTTTTGCCATAGGGCAGGCGCTACCACACCCCAAGGTAGGTACAATTTTTAAAATTTATTTTTATTTATTTATTTA